CAAGAATACCCTTGGCTGAGAGCTGAGGAGAAAAAATATTCCATTCCTATAATCGAGGGATTCACATGTATGGAGAGAGTACACAGAATAGCCTACCTGGGGTTCAGGTGCACGTCCAGTGCAAGGAGTGTTCTGGACCAGTGGAGATGTGCACAGTGTGTGGATAAAGAGGAAGGATTTTGCTGGAGAGGTGGAACTCAGCGGATAGGCAGAGGAGTGAATGTGGGGCTTTGCTAGGAGGACTAGGAGAAAATGAAATCCCTGTAGGCTTGATGGGGATCCTGAACAAGTGGCCCATGTGGGCACTGACTGTGCCCAGGGGGTTGGGAAGTTGTGAGGTATCCACTTGGGCAGGCCTGATGTTAGAAGCGGTGGAGATCACGTGACACCGTGCTTCCCTGTCTCAGAGGACTGGCTGGGTGAATGCTGGGTTCAGGGAAGACAAGTCTGTGGGCGTGTTAGGGGAACAAGGAGTGAGGAGACCATTAGAAGGCTTCTTGCATTTACTCCATGTGGAATGAGGAGGTCCTGATCACAGCTAGTAACAGTGGGTATTTTCAGCTTCTGTAGCACTTGCTTACAAAAATGGTAAATCTGAGTTCATCTCTAAGCTTTAACTTAGAAAATACAGCTTCTTAGTGATTTTTTTTTTCTAGCTATGACAACATAAAGCCTTCAAAATAACCGTTAAGTCTAAGCATCTATATTTGATTTTACAGGGTATTATGAGACTGTTGAGAACCAATTAAGAGAATACAGATACTCAGAATAGGCAGTGCCATGCAGAGTATGCTTTCCACAGTAAATTGTGGCTGTGTTCAGGAAGGGAAGGGAAGGCGGGAATTCTTATTTTTAAAATTTTATTTGCCATAGGTGTATAAACTCACCAGAGACAGAGAGAAAGTGAGAAAGTACCCCCTTACCGGGGCAGGGGTCAGGTGAGGAACATGGAATTGCAGTCACTTCTTCTCCCATCTCCTTGCAGGATTTTTGAGTACATGTACCTGATGTGTTTTTCACGCCACTGGTTAAGGACTCAAACTGTGCAGTTGGCCATGTGGGATCTAGCTGACTTCACTACCACGCCACCTGGCTGGCAAGAGAATGCAGATACTCTTTTTTTTTTTTTTTTATCTGAAATCAAGTGCTAAGTTGAATTCCATTTCATTCTCTGTCACCACTATTACATTTTGTTTTCCTTTTTCAATGTCACTACCTTTTGAGAGTTTGCAAACCCTCACATTGTGATATATCTGACTCAGAGAGAGACATCTGATGGGGAGAAAGAAGAGCAAGAGAGTAAGAGTAGCTGTGTCCTCCTTAAGCATGCCCATCTGCACACGTGGAGACTTAACCACCTTGTCCTCTCCTTGTTTCCTTAGGAATATAAACAGAAGCTTGCGCGAGTGACCCAGGTTCGCAAAGAACTGAAGTCCCACATTCAGAGCTTGCCAGACCTCTCACTGCTGCCCAACGTCACTGGAGGCTTGGCTCCCCTACCCTCTGCAGGTGACCTGTTTTCAACTGACTAGGCCAGGTGTCATGCCCCAGAGTCCCATCTGTACCAGCAGAAAGAAGAGGATGAGTCATGGTTGGAAGTAACCTTCTAGCCCCAGTTCTGTCCTTCCTTCTGTCCAGCCCTCGCAGCCTCAAGAAAGAAATGCGGCCTCCTCTTCTCTCCTGCCTCCCACTTGAGCACAGTTCAGAACAGTGGCAAGTGGAATCTGCTTTAGATTCATATTTGTTATGAATACAGACTTTCTCCCACTTCATGCCCCTGATGGTTTTTCATTCTTAGCTTTCTCTCTACACTCAAGAAGTTGTGAAAATCATGTGTACTTCTGGAAGCTTTTGGAAGAGTCTTGTCTCTAGTGACAGCATTTGGTCATGAAAGCAGCGTCTCATGTCTGAGCTGGACTCATCCCTGCTCGGTCCAGGCTTCCACTGAGGAACTTGCTCTGGATGCAAAGGCTTTCTCGGCTACCTGCCCAAAGGTTGGAGACATAACTATTGAGCAGCTTTGCCATAAACAATTTGCCAAACTTCTGACCCTTACAATTAGTTCTAGTGATGTCTAGTCATAGGTTAGATCTGTTTGTTTTGTAAGCAGACTAGAGAATCTAGCAGTAAGATTCACAGTCATCCAGGACAGAAAGTCACAGTTCAGAGTCAGAATAACAGGGATCACAGGCATGAATTAAAAGTAAGGTATTTTCTTCCAAGTTCCTACATACAACCTTCCCAGGCTGTGCTTTTTCAGGGTCCCACTTTTCCATGTCACAGAGCATGTTCCTAAAAGCAGGACCCTTCGGCCTCAGGTGGTTGCTATACTAGTTGCTAGGATTGGCATTTGTGGGACTTCACACACAGTGCTGCATCTGGGCTCTGTGCGGTGTTGCTTTTCCCCATTCTTTAGGGAGTAGGGCACTCATGAACGTTTGTCCACTGTGTGGTCATATGGCCACAGTGTGGTGACTAGACTTGAATATCTCCCCTGCAGATAGGACTCTGAGCTTGTCGTTCACGCCACTGCCTGCATCCTTGTTCTCGTCTGAGGAGGAATATTTGCATCAGATGTTATTGAATAGCTCATCTTGGGCAGGGGGAGGGAGAAGTCGAGGATAACTATTTGGGGTTTTAATTCCATTATCATGCCAGATTCCATTATGACTCTATCATGTAGTTAGAGGGTTTTTACCTTGTGTGTAGTAAAGGTACAACCTGCTAACGGAAAATCATTCTAATTTGGCAGGGTTATTTTGACATTGGAAAGGGCAGAAAACAATTTGTCCCTATAGTGTAAAAGGAATTAAAGCCCAGAGGCTGAAATCCAAAAGCTATAAAAAGGATTCAGTGGAGGGGGCTTCAGAATGTTCATTATTTTGAGTAGCTGTTTTCAGAATCACCAAAAATTACATGTCATTTTATGTGTTAGTTAAAACATAACCTGTGTTCTAGAAGGCATGACAGACTTCCTCAAGAAGTTCTCTTGCCTGTCCTGGAGTGAGAACACTGAAAAGTAATAGCAGGTATTCAGTTTCATTCTGTATAGAACCTGGTAATGGTAATTCGGATACAGATTGTGTGTGTACTTACTGATCTGCCTGTTGTTCTGTCACTATTAAATGAACGAGTCTATGATATTCTTCTGGAGGCCACAGGACAGTAGGTGACTTTACTAGAATTACAAGATTAATGTTAACCTCTGCTGTGTCTGCACATATCCACTGTCCATATGGCGTGTTTCTACCATACAAGCTCGTTTCTGAACAGACCCACAACGGCGGGACACACAACGCTTTCGCCAAGGAAGCAAGGTTTTACCAGCCACAGACCAGCCAGAAGGGTACAGTTGATATTTGCTCTGATCAGCTAGATAGAAATATTGTAACATAATGGATTTAGCCCACTGCTGTTTTATACAGCTGAGTCTTTGACCAGCAATGGGTGCATAATTACTACAGCAAGAACAAGGAATGAAACTAGCAATTATGTAAATGAATGTGTTGGTCTCTTACCACCTGTTACTAGTGGACTTCCTGTGAGGAAGTTAGTTTTGTCTTGTTTTAAGGAAATGCTTTTTTAAAAAATCGGAATTCTTCCTACATCCTCCCAAGTGTGCTTAACTTCATTCGTTTAATTTAAATGAACCTTGTATGTATGAGGTGATCTGGCGGGGTGGGGTGGGGTTTTTGTTTTCGTGTTTTTTCTTCTTAGGGCATCTGTAGACCTCAAAGGACCTTTCCTTTAGGTCATATTCCTCCAAAAGTCTTCAAGCTTCCTTTGTTTTTGTTTTGTTTTTTTCTTAAAGAATATTTTTAAAGCTTAAATTTGTATATTAATTTAGGACTTTATTTAGAAGTATAGGCTGTCATTGGCGGCAGCAGTATATTCTGAAATGTCTCATAGATATATATTTTTGAATAAAGATGGTGTTGTTGAACAACAGCGTGTGATGTTCCTTTCCCTGTCCTGTTCGGGAAAACACTGTGCTTTCTTTGTTAGCCGTGGGTGATTAGTAATCACCCATAGAGAATGTGCTGCCTGCACAAAATCTTGTCCCTTAGGAGTTTTTTTGTGACTGTTAGTGGCACATAAATACTCAGTACTTAAATAGTATTTTCTGATTCTTTCCAGGGGCTTAATTAGCTTTAATTAGCTGATCCACACAGTACCCAGGAGAGGTGCTGCCATGGTTTTATCCTCGACAGAAGTGGGAACTGATGGGGAGAGGTTAGGTGGCCCTCCACAGTACTGCACAGCCGCTCTCTAACATTAAAACTTGGAAGTTCTTTGATTTCAGCGCTTTTGTTCACACCACTGGGCCTCCTGAGAATGATTCGATTTCAGCAATACTGAAAGCCACTCTGAACAGTAAAAAGGAAAATGCAAGGGTTATTGTCTTCTAAAAACATTTTCCGGGTTTCCTTTTTCCTTTTACTTTTACAAATTCAATAAAAGCATATTGACTGGGTACAATTGGCTGAAACTCTCAAAATAATACAAAAGTGTTTTGAAAGAAGTTCCTCTGAAGTTATTGATAGGTTTGGAAGGATCATTTTAACCTTTCCACTGTCTAAGGGCAGCAGTTGTCAGAAGAAACAGTTACCCCTTTATCTCATAGTGCAAAACACTGTAGGAGCTGTGGTCTGTCAAGGCTAACCAGGACCTACGTCCACATCCAGGATTAGGAAAATTGAGCCTATTCTTTCCCAAGTTATGTTTTAAAATATAAAGGTCGAATATAATATGTGAATCTCAGGAGATGAGATCTGTGTCCCCAGGTTTCATGGCCTAGTTAATTTTTTTCTCTCCTACCTATAAATAGTCCATAATTCCCCTGGTTTAATTAGCACTTCAGGCTACAAAATGACTCTGAGATCTTCAGAGCTGAACATGAAGCTACCTAAGAGTTCATGAATCTGTCAAAATGCTTAGCTTTTGTGATTAAAGCCATTAACTCTGTGACCTTTTTGGGCAAGGTACTTCCCTCTCTAGGCCTATTTTCTTAACTCTGAAGAGTATTGGACTAGGCTCCCTGCCATTCCTGAAAGCTTATGATGGTCATGTTGCATGAGAAGAATATTAGGACTGAGGTCTCTGAACTATGGATGGACATGCCAAGGTTCCAAGTAATCTCAATTGCTTTTTTTGTAAGAGTCTTGCCTTTGGGCATGTGCCCTGGCTGCGGAGAAAAAGACAGACAGTGAAAGGGAAAGTGAAAAATCTCCCACCCCCCTAGGGGGGATGGCCACGCCACAATCCCTTCTCCATGCTCCTCCCAGGATGTTGGGCACACGTACACACACCAGGCATGAGTTTGAAACCAACAGGTCTGGGACTTGAATCGCAGTCATCCATGCAGGAGTCTAGCAACATAACCACTACACCATTTGCTGGCCCTGGTTCCAAATAATCTTTGTTCCCAATAGTATAAATGAGTAGTATCATCATTGTACTCTGTATACTTAGAGCAAACCCTGGAGATCGTAGAAAGAAAGAATAGAACCCACGAGACACTAAGACTAGAAAGATGGGCATAAATAGCAGTTCACTGGGCACAAGCAATCAGCATTTGGTTTATTTAGGGTCTTCGAGAAAAAGCTATTTTGGGGACCAGCGCATGACGGGATGGTTATGTCGCTGGACTCCCACATAGTCAACCATGGTTGGAGTCCCAGACCCAGTGGCGTAAAACAGACCGGGCATGTGCATATCCAAGATTCCAAGGAGAATGGAAGAGAAGGGATTGTGGTGTGGCCATCACCCCAGGGGATGGTTTCTCGCTTCCTGTCTCTGTCTTTTTCTGTCTCTGGCAAGTGCACATGCCCTATAGCAGAATTCTCTAAAAAAAGAGAAAAAGCCATTTTCTAGCCTGGTGTTACTTTCAATTTCTCCTAGAATAACTCATTGCTAATCACCACTTATCTGGGATTTTCCATTTAAAAACCATCCTTCCAGGGCCAGAAGATGCGGTAGCAGTTAGATTGCTAGACTCCCACATGACCAACCGTGGTTTGAGTCCCAGACCCAGTGGCTTAAAAATCACACCAGGCACATATGTGTGCATGCTCAAGATTTGGAAAGAAGGGAGGAGAAGGGATTGTGGCATGGCCATCTTCCTGTGGGTGATTTCTCCCTTTCCTTCTCTTGTCTCTCTCTGGCTAGTACACTTGCCCTAAGGCAAAAGCGTCTTTTAAATAAATAAATGATCATTCTTCCACTCAGAGGTCAAGATTCAGTTGAGAACCCATTCTCGCTTTCACCTCAGTCTCGCTGTAGCTTGCCGCCGAGCATACACACTCTGGGATCTTCAGTGCTGCAGCTGCCATCACCGTCACTGGAGTTCCTCAAGACTCATCTGCGCCACCCACCTGCCACACACTCTGCCATCGTAAGCCGCCATCATGGT